GAAAAATACAGCAAAATCTCATATTGAAGGACTATCTACAAAATGCTTCACCAGAATTTATTAAACTCTCAAGGTAAAAATAATAAAAGACAGTCTGAGAATCTGACACAGACAAGAGGAGTCTAAGAAGACATGATAACTAAATGCCTTATGGTATCTGGATGGTATTCCAGGACAGAAAAGGGCATTAGATAAAACCAAGGATAGTCAAACAAAATATTGACTCTAGGTAGTTATAGTGTATCAATATTTATTTATTAGTTGTTACAAATGTAACATACAAATTTAAGATGTTTAGCAATAGGGAAAATTGCGTTTGAGGGATATAAAAACCATCTATACTATTTTTGTGACTTACCTGTAAATCCAAAAATATTCCCAAGTGTTATTTAAAAACATAATAGACAACATTGCTCAGATTCGTTACAGCCACAGTTTGGGATGAATGTTTATTTCTGCTAATTAGACATATTTATGAGTGATTTGGGAGGCTGAAGAGACATAGAAGCCATCTTCTCATTACTGCTGAAGAACAGTTGTGCAGGTGTTATTTTGTCAGATTATAATGGTAATGCTTGTGGTAGTAGTCACCTGATCTTATTTCTCTGTGTTCTCTGGAGCATAGCAAAATAGCAAAATTAAGGTATCTACGAACAATTTCAGTGCAGTTTACCTTGATCCTCACCTGTCTGATTATGACAGAAATAACAGATTGTTTGGTGATTAGGTTTTCTGACATTGCTCTGAGTTTAATTCCTGAAGCTCCAGTGAGTGCCTAAGCATCAACCCCTCCAAAATATATTAAGCATATAGTTTCTGGTATTAAATTTCTTTCAGTTGAAAATATCTCAATATTTTTCTTTTTGCTGTACCTGAAACTTGAGTGATACAGGGTGTATTATAGTTGAAAAAGCAGTTGGTGTTTTCCCCTGCTGCATATGTCTTTCCTGAAGAATAGGTAGCTTCTTTAGGTAATGGAATTTTAAGGAGTGCTTAGAATAATCCTCTATCTGACAAAATAGATTCCCTATGCATGATAAAGTGCCTGAAATTCTACCATTAGAGTTTCTTATTTTTTGTTCCATTATGACCACTCAGTAGATAAGTGTTTTAAATGCAATTTAGTAACGTATTAGTCAGGATTAGTTAACATCTTCCAAAGAACAATTCCATTGAATTGAAATGAATTGTCCTTCAGAAATGAAAATGTCACGAAAGGCAAATGGGTACTGAAGGGGAAAGGTGAGAGTAGTGCTATAAGGACTAACTTGCCCCCTTACAATTTCACTGAGAAGTAGTTCACTTAACATTTAAAGTATGAATTAGAAATCAAGTGCATTCCCCATATAGCTTTGTGATTTAGTATTCTATGCCTCCCTGAGAATGCTAATACAATAAAGAAATAGGAGAAAAACGTCAGGTGAAGTTGCATAATATATATACCTAACATAGCTAATCTTCAAGAAAACACATTTTGTAATAACCATGTCTCTCCTTCCTAGGCATATTATGATGGTTAAGTGAGATAAAATTATCTTTAAACTGACTTCACTACTGAAATACAACTCTTATAGACAAGTTACTTTTCAAGATATTTTCATAATATGTGCCATTATGTATACATTTATTATATACCCACAAAATGCCAGTGCTAAGTGTTAGGGATATAAAAATGAATTAGACATAATCTTTGCTCTTTATGTTAAAGAGACAGGCATACAGACCACCAAATTAAATAGACTAACAAGCAGGCAAGAAGTGTGTGAACTACTTTTTTTATAATGATCGCAGGCTCTGCACAACCTAGCTTGCTTGCTTGCTTTCTTCCTTTCTTTCCTTCCTTCCTTCCTTCCTTCCTTCCTTCCTTCCTTCCTTCCTTCCTTCCTTCCTTCCTTCCTTCTTTTCTTTCTTTCCCTCTTTCCTTCCTTCTTTCTTTCTTTGACAAAAAAAGTCTCACTCTCTCACCCAGGCTAGAGTGCAGTGGCACAATCTCAGCTCACTGCAACCTCAGCTTCCTTGGTTTAAGTTACTCTTGTGCCTCAGATTCCCAGTCAGCTGAGGTTATAGGCATGTGACGCCACAACTGGTTAGTTTTTGTATTTTTGATAAAGATGGGGTTTCACCATGTTAGCCAAGCTAGTCTCAAATTCCTGACCTCAAGTGATCCACTGGCCTCAGCCTCACAAACAACTGGGAATACAGGCGTCAGCCACTATGCCCAGCCCAACCTAGATTTCTTATATTTATCTGATTTGATTTCCTCTATGATGATTTTCATTTTATTCCCCACGAGACAGACTTTCTGCATCTCTTCGTGTTATTTGAAATGAAGAAGTTTATTCTCAATTCAATTTTTTGGATTTGTTATTTCCTATACAGGAAATGTTCTCCTTTTTTTGCTTCATTTGGCTGGTTCATAAAATTTTACTCAGAAAATTCTTTCTTAATTATTCCATAAAAAACTCTGCCATTCTCATCAGCCTTTTTCCTTCATCCTATTTCATTTATACTTGATGACACTTATAAAAATTGACATTTTATATGCTTTGATTTTATAAATTAAATTTATTCTGGGAAAATAGGTTTTAATTTTAAATTTTAACTATTATATGTACATAATAGATGTATATATTTATGGGACAAAGTTGTTGTTTTGGTACAGACATACAGTGTGTAATACTCAAATCAGGATAATTGGGATATCCATCACATCAAGCATTTTTTATTTCTTTGTGTTGAAATATTCTAGTTTTACCTCTTAGTTATTTTTATATTTGCAACAAATTATTGTTGACTATAGTTACGCTGCTATGCTTGCAACTACTAGTCTTGATCATTCTATATAATTATATTTTTCCACACATTAATAACATACAATCACCCCCATAACATCCCAAGCCTCTGAAACCATAATTCTAATTTCTATGTCCATGATTTCAATTGTTTTAGTTTTATCCTAGAATATTGCATACAGTGAAAATATTGTGCAAACATAAATGAGAAATAAAGTCTTTGCAAGACAAATGAAATCTTAGGAATTTTGTCTACACCAGGCCTGTCCTAGAAGAAATGCTAAAAGGAGATTTTTTGTCTGAGAGAAAAGATCATCAGCAAGCATAAGAAATCATTTGAAGGTATAAAGCTTACTAGTAAAACTAAGTAAAAAGACAAATACAGGATAACACGGTAATTGTGTGTAAACGACTAATATTTTGAGTAGAAAGACTAAAAGACAAAAAGTATCAAAATAATAGCTACAAAAACATTTTAAATGCTAGAAAGTAAAATAGAAATAATACATAGCAAAAAGTTAAAATATGGGGATGCAAATTTAATGATAGAGGTTTTTTTAAAAATTTTCATTTCAATTGTTTGTTTGTTGTTAATGTTTTTATCAGAGTTCAGTTGTAAGCAGCTTAAAATAATGGATTATAAGATGTTATTTTGAAACCTCATGGTAACCTCAAATCGAAACACCTACAAAATATATGCACACAAAAGCAAAAAAAAAAAAAAAAATTAAAACATGCTACCAGAGAAAGTCACTCTTACACAATGGAATACAGGTATGAAGAAAGAAAGAGATTACTACAAAACAATCTGGAAATAAATAACAAAATAGGAACAGTCTTTTTGTATCAGTAATAGCATTTAATTAAAATAGACCACATTTTCCAATCAAAAGATATTGAGTGGATCAGTGGATTAAAAAGACACATGACTCAACTATATGCTGCCTATGATAAACTGATTTCATCTCTAAAGAAGTACATAGAGTGAAAAAAGGGATAATAAAAGATATTTGATGCAAATAGAAGCCAAAAAAGAGTAAGACTTGCTTTAATTGGAAGAGGTAAAATATATTTCAAGACACAAATAATAAAAATAGGCGAAGTACATCATTATATGATATAAAACAGCAAAAACATATACATAGACCAACAGAATGAAATAGGGAAACCTGAAATAAAACTGCACAACTACAACCAACTAATGTTCTACAAAGTTTACAAAAATAAACAATAGGGAAAGAATTCCTTATTAAATAAATGTTGCTAGAAAAACTATATGGAGAAGAATAAAATTGAACATTGACCTCTCACTATATACAAAAATTAACTCAAGATGGATTAAAGTCTTAAATATAAGATCTTCAGCTATAAAAATCCTAAAAGAAAACCTAAAAATCGGACTTCTAGTCATAGGCCTAGGCAAAGATTTTATGGCGAAGATGCCAAAAGTGACTGCAACAAAACCAATAATTGATAAGTGGCACTTAATTAAACTAAAGAGCTTCTGTGCAGCAATATAAACTATCAGCAGTAAAGAAACAACCTACAGAATGGGAGAAAATATTTGGAAACCATCCATCCAAAAAAGATGTAATATCCAGAATCTATGCAGAGCAAGTTAATAATCAATAAGAAAACAACCCAACTAAAAAGTGAGCAGAGGACATGAACAGATGCTTTTCAAAATAAGACATACACAACAAGCCAACAAACATATGAAAAGTGTTCAATATGACTAATAACTAGAGAAATACAAAACAAATATTCAATGAGATCCCATCTCATATGAGTCAGAATGGCTATTACTAAAAAACCAAAAATAAACAGATACAGATAAGGTTGTAGAGAAAAGAGAATTCTGATGGGAATGTAAATTAGTTTAGCTCTTGTGAAAAGCATTGCAATGATTTCTCAAAGAACTCAAAGCATAATTATCATTCTAATGAGAAATTCCACGACTGGGTATATATTCAAAGGAATATAAATTGTTCTATCATAAAGTTACATACACTCTTATGTTCATCTCAGTACTATTCTCAATAGCAAAGACATGGAATCTACTTAAATGTCCATCAATTGTAGACTGGATAAAGAATTTATGGTACATATTCACCATAGAATACTATGCAATCATAAAAAAAGAATGAGATTATGTCCTGTGAGGCAAAACAAGGAACCAAACTGGAGGTCATTATCCTAAGTAAGCTAATACAGAAATAGAAAACTAAATACTGCACGTTCTCACTTATAAGTGGGAGCTAAACATTGAGTACACATGGACACAAGGAAGTGAACAACAGATACCAGGGTGTACCTAAGGGCGGGGGTTGAGAGGAGAGAGAGGATTCCAAAACTACTTATAGAGCACTGTACTTATTACCTTGTAACCTAATATGTATACTAAATCCCCAGGATAAACGATTTACCTATATCACAAACTTGTGCTTGTATGCCTGAAAGTAAAATAAAAGTTAAAATAAAAAAGAAAAATTACAAATTAGGGATGACGTTTTCTACTTAGGCAAAGGGATGCTTAGAAGTGCAAACCTCAGCATCCTGCAATATGCCCTTATAACAAACTTGTGCATGTATACTTGTGCATGTATATCTACAACAAAATAATGTCATTCAGCATAAACAAGTAGGATTCACTTTAGGGATGCAAGAATACTTCCACATATGCTAATCAGTAAATGTGATACATTGTGTCAACAGAATTAAAAACAAAATCACCTAATCATTTAAATTTAGATGAAAAAATATTCGATAAAATTCAACATCTCTTTATAATAAAAACTCTCAAAATATTAGGCATAACATAAACAGACATTAATACAATGAAAGCAATATGGCAGACTCACAGCTTGTGTCTTACCAAAGATAAAAACAAAAACAAAAAACAAATAAACAAAAAACAACCCTGAAAGCCTTTCTCTTAAGATCTGGAACAAGACAAGATTTCTCACTTTTACCAGTGTTAATATATCACAAATGAGAAGTTCTAGAGAATGCAGTTAGATAAGAAAAAGAAGTGCATACACACTGAAATAGAAGGAATCAAATTATTCTTGTTTGCAGATGATATAATCTTATATCTAGATAAACCTCACGTCACCACCAAAAAACTTTTAGAACTAATAAACAATGCAGTAGAGTTTCAGGGCACACAATCAACATATAAAACTTACTATTATTTCTGTATGCCAACAGCAAACAATCTGAAAAATAAATCAAGAAAACAATCCCATTTACAATAACTACAAATTAAATGAATTACCTAGAAATAAACTTAACTGAAGTAAAATATCTCTACAACAAAAACTGCAAACCATTGATGATGCAAATTGAGAAATATATAAAAATAGATTTTTCTGTTCATGTATTGGAAGAATAAATATTGTTAACATGTTCATGCTACTCAAATCTATCTACAGATTCAATGCAGTGTTTATCCATATGCTAATAATATTTAGGATTTTCTAGGTATGGTTAAATTATCAGTGAACAGGCAATTTGACTTCCTCTTTTCCAATTTGGATGTCTTTTATTTTATTTCTGTAACCTAGTTGCCATGATGAGGACTTCCAGTAATATGTTGAATACGAATTATAAAAGGGGGGCATGCTTGTTTTGTTCTACTTCTTAGAGGGAAGTGGGACAAAATATATTATACATAAGATAACATATGTAATTTTTATGTATTATATACATATTATATCTCATATGTGTTGTATGTATAATTAGTATATACTATATACATATTATACTGGTATTATACTAGTATCATTCTTTTTGGGTTTTTATATATACATACACACACATGTATATGTGTACATATATATATGTATATACACACACATGTATTATGTTGTCTCATGTATATGTTTTCCTATTTCCATCTAAGATATGTGTTTTTTTTCTGGAGTCTTTATTCTGGTCTTTCTCTCTGTCTTTCTCTCTCTCTCTCTCTCTCTCTCTATATATATATATATATATATATACACACACACATATACATATATATATACACACACACACACACACACACACGTATACGTGTATATATATACACACACACATATATATACACATGTGTACATGTGTCTTTTTTTTCTGGAGTCTTTATTCTGGTCTCTCTCTATACACACACACACACACACACATACACGTGTATGTAACACGTGTATGTGTGTGTGTGTGTGTGTGTGTATGTATATGTGTGTCTTTTTTTTCTGGAGTCTTTATTCTGGTCTCTCTCTATACACACACACACACACACACATACACGTGTATGTAACACGTGTATGTGTGTGTGTGTATATACATATACACGTATACGTATATATATATACATACACATATATGTGTGTGTGTGTATATATATACACACATATACACGTATATATATATACGTGTATATATACACATATATGTGTGTGTGTGTATATATATACATATACATATAGAGAGAGAGAGAGAAAGAGAGAGAGAGAGACCAGAATAAAGACTCAAGAAAAAAAAGACACATATACACATGTATATGTACACACATATACATATACATATATATGTATATGTGTGTGTGTATATATATATATATATATATAGAGAGAGAGAGAGAGAGAGAGTGAGAGAGAGAGAGAGAAAGAGAGAGAGAGAGAGAAACCAGAATAAAGACTCCAGAAAAAAAAAAGACCCGTATCTACAGCCAAAGAATTAACTAATCTTTGTCAAAATCAACAAGAACTTAAACTGGGGAAAGAACACTGCTTTCAATAAATGGTGCTTTGAAAACTGAATTATCATATGCAAAGGCATAAAATTGGATTACTATTTCCTACCATATACAAAAATCATCTAAAAATGAATTAAAGGCTTAAGTGCATGACCTGAAAGTATAAAAATACCAGCAGGAAACCTAGGGAATAGTCTTCAAGCCATTGGTCTAAGTAAACAATTCATGACTAGGACCTCTAAAACAGAGGCAATGAAAACAAAAATATACAAATTGGGCTTAAATTGGAAAAAAAAAAAAAACCAACTTCTGGGCTGAAAAAATAATCAATTTGAGTGAACAGAAAACCTTTGGAGTGGGAGAAAATACACACACACGAAAAAATACATGGTTATTAAAAATTATTCAACATCATGAAGCATCAGAGAAATGCAAATTAAAACAACAATGAGATATCATTTTCCACCAGTAAGAATCCTTAGTATTAAAAAACCAACACATAACATATGTAGGTGAGTAAGGAGAAAAAAATCAACTCTTACACAGTGCTTCTTGGACATCTGTTTGTCTTCTTCTGAAAAATGTATACTCATATTCTTAGCCCACAGAATGAAAGAAAATTGTATTAGTTAATTCTTACACTGCTAATAAAGACTTACCAACACTGGGTAATTTATAAGAGAAATAGGTTTAATTGACTCACAGTTCAGCATGGCTGGGGACACCTCATGAAACTTATAATCATGGTAGAAGGGGAAGCAAACATGTCCTTCTTCATATGGCAGAGGAAAAAGAAGTGCAGAGTGAATTGGTGGAATGCTTCTTATGAAATCATCAGATCTTGTGAGAATATACCCACTATCATGAGAATAGCATGGAGAAGACTGCCCCCACTATTCAAAGACCTTACACTGGGTCTTTCCCATGACATGTGGGGATTATGGAAACTACAGTTGAAGATGAGATTTAGGTGGGGACACAACTGAACCATAATCATTCTACCCTGGCCACACCCAAATCTCATTTTCTCACATTTGAAAACACAGTGATGCCTTTCCAAAAGTCTCCCAAAGTCTTAACTCATTCCAGCATCAATCCAAAATTTCTAGTTCAAGGTCTTATCTGAAACAAGGCAAGTTCCTTTTGCCTCTGAACCTGCAAAATAAAAAGCAAGTTAGTAATCGCCTAGATACAATGGGGGTTTAGGTATTGGAAACCAATAAGGCATTCATTAAACCTTAAAGTTCCAAAATGATCTCCTTTGACTCTATGTCTTATATCCAGGTCATACTGATGCAACAGGTGGGCTCCCACAGCCTTGGGCAGCTCCAACCCTGTGGCTTTGCAGGTAGAAGCTCCCCTCCTAACTGCTTTCACAGGTTGGAATTGAGTGTCGGTGGCTTTTCTAGTTGAATTGTGCAAGCTGACTGTGGATCTACCATTCTAGGGTTTGGAGGATAGTGGCCCTTTTCTCACAGCTCCACTAGGTAGTGCTCAAGTGGGGACTCTGTGTAGGGTCTCTGGCCCCACATTTCACTTCTGTACTTCCCTAGCAGAGGTTCTCCATGAAGTTTTCATCCCTGAAGAAAACTTCTGCCTGGAAATTCAGGCCTTTTCATACATTCTCTGAAATCTAGATGGAGTTTCCCCAACTTCAGTTGTAAAATTCTGTGTACCTGAAAGCCCAACACCACATGGAAGTTGCCAAGCCTTGGGGCTTGCGTCCTCTGAAGCAATTGCCTGAACTCAATGTTGGCTTATTTTAGCCACAGCTTTAGCAGCTAGGACACAAGGCCCCAAGTCCCAAGCCCTGCACACAGCAGAGAAGCCCTTGACCCAGCACAGGAAACCATTTTTTTCTCCTAAGTCTCTGGGCCTGTTATGAGAGGGGCTGCTGTTAAAGTCTCAGACATTTTCCCCATTGTCTCGGTGGTTAACATTTGGCTCCTTGTTACTTATGCAAATTTCTGCAGCAGACTTGATTTTCTCCCCAGCGATTGAGTATTCATTTTCTCTTGCATTGTCATGCTGCATATTTTTCAAAGTTTTATGCTATACTTTCTTTTGAAAGCTTTACTGCTTAAGCATTTCTTCAGTCAGATACCCTCAATCATCTTTCTCAAATTGGAAGTTCCACAGATCTCTAGGCAGGGGCAAAATTCCACCAGTCTCTTTGTATAGAAAGAGTGACATTTACTCCAGTTCCCAACAAGTTTCTCATCTCCATCTGAGACCACCTAAGCCTAGACTTTGTTTTTCGTTATCACTCTCAACATTTTGGTCAAAGCCATTTAACAAGTCTTTAGCAAGCTCCAAACTTTTCCACATCTTCCTGTCTTCTGAGCCCTCCAAGTCTCTAGGAAGTTTGAAATTTTCCCACATTTTTCCATCTTCTGAGCCTTCTAAACTTTTCCAACCTGTGCCTGTTACTCATTTCCAAAGTTGCTTCCACATTTTGGGGTATCATTATAGCAATGCCATACTACCTAGTACCATTTAACTGTATTAGTTCATTCTCATGTTGCTAATAAAAACATACATAAAATTGGATAATTTGTAAAGAGGTTTAATTGACTCAAAGTTCTGCAGAGATGGGGACGTTTCAGGAAACTTAAAATCACAGTGAAAGGAAAGGCAAACATGTTCTTCACATGATGCAGGAATGAAAAGTACAGAGCAAATGAGGGGGAAAAGCTCCTTATAAAGCCACCAGATCTCGTAAAAACTCACTATCATGAGAATGATGACACATGGTCTTTGGGTTGTCACTTTTCTGACAAGAAACCTAGTGGCACCTTTGCCTGAGTTTTCCTCCAGCCCACTGGGCTTGTTCCATCCATTCAGCTTGGCAGGCTGTGCTCAGCTCAAACTACCAACCTGGATCTGACACCTCCAAGGGAGACTATGAGTCAGGCATGGAGCAATGAGGGGTGTGTGAATGAGTGTGGGGTCTGGGCACTGTACAGTCAGACACACTGTGCCATGGGGTGGGCAGGCCCAGGTGGTGGCATGGGTGCCAGCTGTCTGTGAGGCTGCAGCTGGACAAGCAAATTCCATGGCTGGCACCAGAGAATGCAGTGCTGCATAAAAGCTTGAAACACCAGTAACTACAGGGCCCCAAAGAGAAAGTCACAGCCCGGAGTTGGGGAGCTCCCAAGTCTGGGCTTCTCATAGGGGTACAGCTCTTCTCTCCTTCTCTTCACCTGCAATGTGGCAAGCAAGGGGCATGTTTTAGCCCTGTTTGTGTTACAGCTCTTTTAGCCTCACCATTTAATGGTTCTTGAGTTTTTGTCTTGTGACGAGGAAGATTGAGTGTTTTGATTTGGCTATTTACCCACCCAAATCTCATTTTGAATTGTAGCTCTCATCATTCTCACATGTTGTGGGAGGGACCTGGTGGGAGATAATTAAATCACTAGGATGGTTTTCTCCATACTATTCTTGTGGTAGTGAATAAGTCTCACAAGATCTGATGGTTTTATAAGGGGAAATCTTTTTTCACTTGGTTCTCATTTCTTGCCTGTCACCAGGTAAGATGTGCCTTTCACCTTTCACTGTGATTGTGAGGCCTCCCTGGCCACGTGAAACTGTGAGTCCGTTATACCTCCCTTTCTTTACCAATTACCCAGTCTCAGATATGCGTGTATCAGCAGTGTGAAAACAAACTAATACAATGAGGTATGCAGAAACGTGAAGGACAAGCAAGACAACGAGCTTTATCGAGCAATAGAACAGCTCAAAGTAGACCCAAAGTCGGCAGCTCCTCTCTGCAGGCAGAGTGTCCTAACAAGTTTTCGGCTCCTAGTAAAGAGAGTAGCTCATCCTTTCAGGCAGGTCATCCCAACAAGTGTTCAGTTCTCAACAGAGAAGGAAGCTCCTCTCTGTATCTGATCATCCTAAAATGTGTTCAGCTATCAGAAAAAGGGAAGCTCCTCTCTACAGCTAGTTGTTCCATCATCTGCAGCTCATTGGAGAGAGTAGGCCCTGGAGAGGGTGGCTCCTCTCTGCAGGCAGGTTGTCATTGTCTCTACATCTGTCAGCAAAGAGGGTAGCTCCTCTCTGCAGCTGGTCATCCGATCAACTCTCCAACCTCTTCTCTGGCCTGAAGGTGAGGCCTCAATGGGGACATGTTTCCTTCCACCAAGAATCCCATTGGCCTGTTGTCATCCATGGTGCCCAGGCTGTTCATGCCAAGGGAGCACCTGCATGCCAGTGCTGAACTGTTCTTGGCCCCCTCTTGGCCTATTTTCCATTCTTGTTGGCACCCAATATCCAGACAGGGCTGAGGCAGTGGGAGACTGGTGTGTCAGCACTGTCCCGTGTATGAGCCCCTAGCAGAGCTGTGACAGCCCCTGGGCTCAGCCTCACATTGCTCTGAGATAGGAGTGAGTACTGCCAGTGGGGAGAAGCCAGGTAGTGGGAGCAGGAACTTCCGAGCCCACAAGGGTGCCAGGGACCTTTCTGGGCCCCCAAGAGTTCAGAAAGGCCCAGGTGCACAGCCTCAACTTGGATGGCTAAACATGCATTCCTGCCTGTTTCTGGCTTCCAAGAACACGGAGAGGCCCAGGTCTACAGCCCCAACTTGGGCAGCTGCAGCTGCACCCAGAAGCCAGCCTCGGAGGAGCTGGAACTCGCTCCTGGCTTTTGCTGGCACTGTAGAGTGTGCAGCTCTGGCCACTCTCTCTCACAGCTTGAGGCAGGGAATCCAGGTTCTTGCAGGGCCCAGGCCAGCATCCAGGGCAGAGGTGACATCACCATGAGCTGTCCTTATGGACCCAGAGCTATGGAATGGCCCAGGGCTTCCTTTCATCTGGCTCACTGCCCTGCCCAGGGGGAACTACAGGAGCAGGTCATGGACTTCAAGCCTGGCCATTGGGAGTGTCAGGCCCAGCAATTGCCCCAAACTTGGGCAGACCCTAGGGGCATGGCCCAAGGAGGCCCTGCACAGAGCCTCCTTCTGAAGCACAGGAACCCAGTGCCCTTGATGAAGTGGGCACAGTGACCAAGCCACTTGTCATGTTTCCAAAGTGGGCACAACTCTCACTTTCAGCCCTGGAGCCCCCAGGCATAGCCCCAGCTTTGCACCCTAGGCCTGGCCCCCATGCTCTGTACAAGCATGGAAATACCCTGGCCCACTTCCACCTTGGGATCCCTCTCTGCTTAACCACACTGCTTCCCTGCTGATGGGTGACTTGGCCCGGCCCCATCACAGTGACCCCCATAACATAGGACTCTGCAGGCTGTCTACCTCCTCTCCATAGTCTCCCCACAGCAGTGGCAGACGAGAGCAGTGATGTGGGCCCAAGGTTCAGAGTGACAAAGGCTCCAGGCCTGGGGGTGAATCTCATTCACCCATGCAAGGGTGTGGGCAGCACAGTCAGCTGCCTCAGGAACATGGAACACAGGGGATATGAGGCACAGTGGTCTCCTCACTGCCACTGCTGCTCCTGCAATTGGTCCTGCCACTGCCACTCATGTCTCCCTAATGCATCTGGTGCAGTGGCAGTGGCCACTTCAGATGGCCCAACGCTGCCTTCAGTCCCTACTCTGAAGAGGTACATCTAACTGCTATTGGAATATGAATGATAATCACTATTAACTGCTTTAAGCTGACAGGGGCATTGTTTTGGGAAAAATGGCAGTGGGATCTCTCTCAGAGGCCTATCTATGGATCCCTAGTAAAAATGAAGCTATTGTCTGGGCTTTTATTGCATGATCACTTGGATTTTGATGGCCCATTCCTCTTGTTTCTGCTGAGCTGCAGTAAGATATTACTGGTTAGTTCACAGGAATATACTTTACTGTCTTGTCAAAAGCTGCAAATAGCTAAAAATAAAAGCTTCCTTGACTCTGAAAAGCAAACAAAATATTAGCCATTTTCCAAGCACAAAATTAAAAAAAAAAGATTACTTCCATCTTCAATTAATTTAGTCTACCCAGTAAATTCTTGTTCACAGTCTCCAAAGTTATCAGAAACCTGTACTGAAGAACTATAATCCATCTTTTGAAGAGAATAAAAACAAGACAGTTGTCTGTTAATATCAAAATAAACTAGAGTGGTAGTAACGTTGTCAAGCACAATTGACAAATAAATTTGGTCACGTCTATGGTCTACTATAACCTAATGCAATAACACTAACTATGATTAATAACATGTACTCAGACATCAGAATTTTAGATTTACAATTTTGGAACACATGTTTACATTTTGAAGACATTTTTATTTTACCAATAATCTTTATAAGTGTTTCTATTTCTCAAAGATTAAAGTCATGTGAACTAAATGGCATTAGAGCCTCTATTTTTCCTTAAAAATATTTGATCTAAGCATTTATTTTTTCTTAAGCCAATGAAGTAGACAGTTCCTTTATATAAACATCACAAACATAATAGGTATTTATCTACACAGACAGAAGGAGATCTAGTAGTTGTAAGATTTTTCACGTGCCAAAATCTTAATTGGATTACTGGGCCTGGGGTATAGCCCTTCAAAATACAGGGCTAGAAAAACATGCAGTTTCTAAGGCCTAATAAGTAGGCATAGCTGGAAGACAAAAACGGATTTTGAGAGAAATCTATCCACCCATAATTGCTGGGGTTCCATGAGGAAAATCGAGGTTTTCCCCAAAATTGGTCAGTGGTGCCTACTCTGTTTTTTTTTTTTCTGAGGAATCCCAGGCCACCAGAAGTCATCCTGGAGTCCCTCATGTGTGCAGTAAGAGTGGCAAGACAAAAATGGACACAAATAATTCAATTAACTAAGAAGAAAAGCCTTTTTTTCCAGAAAAACAAGATTCATGTAGAGAAAAGACATAAAAGCCTTTTAAATATACCTATAACTTGGATACCCATCTTTAATTATCCTTACTTTTAACCATAGCACTCTCTTTATAAGAAATTCTTCTAAATCTCTAATTGCCCGACCTTAGCCAGGCCAAATGGCCAAATTTCTGGCTTCTGAACTCATGGAGGGGTAGAGACCCCAATGCCTTTTACCATTCCTATAACCAGTTGCACAGAGAGAGAGAAGCCAAAAGTCTGACTGGTAAGAACTTTTACCATTTTGTAAGCATAACATAGGCTTCTGGCTTCTCTTCCCCTGAATCATGGAGCCCTATTGACCATGGTGTTCTGTGAAGGAGTAAAAGACAAAGAGAACTTTTTGCGTCTCAAGTAACTGCCAAACTGTTAAGGTTTGGGAAAATAAAATTCTTCCCAATTTAGAGAATATGTCTGATGGAGTGTCCTGTGATATGGAGATGCAATTACACATCTGTGAAGAGAGGACAAAGGAGGAAAAATGAAAAATGTTTTTTATTTTTTTCTTCAACATCAGAGGGTCAAATTGATTCCAGTGATTTAGAATGCACTGGAAAGGACTGCAGGCTGAAAATGATTGGTTTCCCATCTAAAAACAGGGAAAAAGACATCCTGTTGTTCTCTTTCTTCCTAGCAAATACCCAGAGGATCTGATGGAAAGAAAAAAGACATCCCCTTCTCCCCTTTTATCCCTGTGTCCTGGCAACCTGTGCTGGTGTTGGCCATGGGTGCAAGTGCAACCTTCACCCATGAAGTGAGAAGGCATAGTCCCGGTAATATTCTCGCTTACCTGTGTGGTTTCTAAGCCTTTTG